TCGCCGCCACCACCTCAAACAAATCAGCCAATTGCAAAAAAAAAATTATTACCCACCACGACCACAGATCGGGACACCACCATCACATCCACAACACCACAACCTCACCCACGCACCACAACAATCATCACCAACAAAAATTCGAAGCAGAACTGAAAACAACACAACCACCATCAACACCACCACACCATACCACCAAAACAACCACTAGATTTCTCCACCACAGCAGTACAGCTAAGCAGGTTAGATCAGAGAACAAAATCACTCCAAAAAACCTCTAACTCCCTCCCAAATGTTCTCTGCTGAGGCAACAAAAAAAGCCCAAATCCATCCCTAAAATTTTCTACAACAGCGAGTTCGAGCAGCCTTACACCCCCGTTCGACGCCGCAGCAAACGAACAAAGCCCACAGCTTCATGGCTACAATGACAACTCGCGGTGCATCATCGTCGGGTTGCCGGTGGGTAGTGGAGGGAAAGAGAGAACAAAGGTAGAGAGAGATTGTGGTAGTGACGGCGAATGAGAGAGGAGATCGACAAGTGGAAGGAGACGTAGAAAGAGATGGCGGGTTTGGAAAGAGAGGGGTTGGGGGAGAAATGTAGAGAAAGAGATGAGAGTAAAATTAATTAGGGTTTGTGATGTATTAACTAGATATTTTTTAAATAATTAACATAAAAAAAATTTCTGATTTTCGAAATATCAAACTTCCAATCTGATTTCAGAAAGTTGAATATTTAAAGTATGGTTGGATGTAATTACCACTAAAAACAATCGTTCAGAATCATGGATTGGAGGACTAAAAAAATTCCATTTTTAAATGTTGAAAACAAACTATGTTGTGTATTATATCCAACCCCACATACGCTGCAATTTTCTCAAAAATTCATTTTACACCTCCAGCCCTGGTAGAATGCAATCATTCCCAAGTATACAAATTTTCATTCATTGACGTCTCATCTCAATCTTCAATCAAGAAAAGAAAGCTTTACTACCTCTAAAACTTAATTTATGAACCGATCTTACTGATCCTAATTACTTTGATAGAATACAACACAAACCAAATACTAATTTGTATAATATTTGCAACTGACAGCTGAGAACTTAACCTGGATGAATCTTGAGCCACGTCTAACCTCCACAAAACAACTGATCCCAGCCAATTTCCTACCAAAATTGGCATAGTAGTAGTACTAGATTTAAGGCAGACGGAATTGATTACATTGAGGCTCCAACTGAAAAATGGAAGAATCTAGAATGTCCCATAGCTTCAAAAAATGCTACAACGCAGTTTCAAGGACGCGAAGACCGAACATCGTCTGAATCTACTTTCAGCTGAAAATTGGACGAAAATAAAAACAAGAACGATGATGGTTAGTGACATTGTTTGGCAGACAATTCAGTTGGTAGGAAAAAGAGTCAAGAGAAGCAATGCACCAGAGCGAGATGGTTCACCAGCACGCTGTGCAACAATTTTTTCAGCTTTTCGGATTGATCAATCCTGTGGCCCAATCTGATAGATTCCTCAAGAAGGCACCACAGACGTTCAATTGTAGTGTAAGGAAACCAAACCGCAAATTGTTCTTTACGACGAATAACGTCTGCTGGTCGCTGCAGATAATGGTAAAGCTCTTCAGTTTCCAGCCAATAAAATAAGAATATGGAAATCAAAGGCATTCATAGAGTGTTTGGTAGGGAGGTTTTGATAGCACTAGACAATACAAAGAAAGAATGAGAAGCTAAAATCTTGTTCACTATAATGGCACAAGTGAGAAACTGTCATAACTCGAGGTTCCCAGTATTTACGACTCTACCACTCTTCTTTCGCGCTTGAATGACTCCGGTTCCTAAGTTACATGAGTTAATCATTTAATCATCGAAGACGTTCAGCCGGTATCAGTTATATATCCGCTTTGTTCCTACGACCTAGCCTGAGTAAAGGTCAGTAAGGATTCAAAGAAAGGAAAGATTGTGGGACAGTCTGGTACCTTTTAATCCTTTACCAATTGTTCAACGTGCAGTTAAAACAAAGCAAATGTAATAGGCATGTTAAGCGCTATGATATGGAATTAAAAACCAACTACCTAAAAAATAAGAAACTATGCTTCAACAACATGAAATTTATTTGATCCTTGGTTCCCAGTAAGTTCGAATTATAGACGGTTTCTGAAGCTAGAATAGGAAGTAGGAACTACATAATATATGGCATCAAGATTAAAACAATTGCACCTGAGTTAAAGCTTAATAATTTCAATCCCTTCAAGCGCTGATTAGTGAAAGAGCATACAGTGTATACTTTTGCAACATTCAAATAATTAGGTCGTGGTGCCCAAGATTGAGTATTCCGCTCATTGGACTTGTTCTTTGGATGTGTGTATACCACAGGTCAGGAGTACCACGAAGGTGACCCAGGAGATGACTAGGAATGGCACAAGATATTTGATGGTATGTTAAGTGGGATCGAGGGACATGACAATGGTATTCAGTATTAGCCAGTGCAGATATCAGAGTTCTCTGTGCTAGTTCATGGGGCACAAATTAAGCAAGGGTTAAGTACAAATTAAGTTGTGGGGCCCATATACTATAATGTACACGTGTACATCCATTATTTATGCTCATTGATAATGGTGGTAACTGTATCTTTAGAAGTCTCTAGAGGCCAATGGGGGAACTGACAGACACCATAGTGGAATTATGTTGGATTACCACCGTGGACATGTCCTATTTTAGAACGCACAAGCACACGAGATTCTGAGGTTCAGGCAGAGAAGGGTTTACCTTTTCGGAGAGGAAATCTATATAGCATATACATGCATACTTGTGTAAATACCAAGCACATTGAGATTTTGAGGTTTAGGAAGGGAAGGGTTGACCTTTTCGGGGAGGAAATCTATACAGCATATACATAAACTAACTGCTACTCTCTAATTTGTCCTTTTTGTCAAATGGTCTCATGGCACCTTGGTCATAGTACTTTTACCACAGGTAGTTTAGATGTTAGGTTTCCCTCAAGGGTGTCTTTTATAGGGCAAGAATGGAGACGAGCATAGTTTGGCCCCACTTATTTAAAACTCATTTTCCCCCAACCTCATTTTCAACCACACATTTCATGGGACCCACAGCTTTTATCAACTTAACAATCACACATTTCATCTACTTTAAAATCTACTAAAAATCACATTTTTATCAAAACCAAACAGGGCCTATATATATTCGGAGAAAGCGAGGTGTTACAGTTGAGGTATTAATGGAATGATTAAGCAATATGGTTGACTTTAGAATCTTTTGTTACCTCGTCTCACAATCTAATTGCATTCAAATTCACATATTGTTTACATAATGCCCAAGTCCAGAAGTATGTCTCGTGATCAGCAAGACTGAACTCTCAAATGCATATACAATACACTGACACACACGTACAGTCAGAAGCTGACATCATTTTTCACTTTCACTAGTATGGTTGCATCTTTTAAGCATTATAAAAAGTGTCAACAACCAGAGTCAGATGTAGAATTCATACTTTCAACTCATCCTAAATGCTTATTTTAGGAAAACTTGCAGTGCAGTATGAAGACGAGTTTCTAAGATATGGTCTCCTAAAAGGAAGTTAAAATTTAAAAATCAAATCAAGATAGTATATAAATAATTATTCACACTTCACACGTTTCTAGCAATTCACATGACATCATCAAATGATACAAGTCTTGGATAAGAATCTACAACACATAAGAACGCCATTGTTGACAATCATTTACTCCAACAGCATCTAGGATTCCTAACAATGTGATATCTTACACAGGGTAAATCCTTAACCCTTCCCCCTCTTACTATGACTGAAGAATTTTCTTGTGAATTATGGCCAATACCGGGTATATAAGCAACGATTCAATGGACGGCTCACTGGGATAGATGTAGATGAACAATATCAATTAACCATGGGATGTATTTCCAAAGAATTACCTTGAAAATTCGAACCAACCACAGTGGTAATTCAATCTGAGGATCGGCAGAAAGAAGAGTTTCAGCAACAATTACTGGTAATCTGGGATGAAATGCGTTGTATTTATCCTGCAATAGAAGATGCAAGAGGAAGTTTAAGTCAAGATCTTCAACAAAATAATAGATTCAGATATAGCTCACAACGAGCAAGCTCATCCATATTTCAGACAGTACAGGTCACACCCCAAACCTATGCACACCTTCAAATTAAGCAAATGAGTAATTAATATAAAATTTGAAAAACAATGAAGAGTGAAAAAAGAAAGAAACGTTATAAAGAAAGAAAGCCTTAGAGAGAACTTCAATACAATCCATAACAAGAAATTTGTGAGGACGTGCTATAGTGAAGCCCACTGCAAAAGCATATGAAGAACCATACATCATTTCAGGAAACTGTAAATTCCAAAGACAAAATTGAAGCTTTTCGCTCAAGACATCAAAATATACCATTTAAGAGGAAAATATTAGAGGTCATACTCCTTACTCGGGATGACTCTGAGATCGGATTATAAAGTATCTCAGGTTGTTTGAAGAATATTCAAAGCACAAAACAGTAAGCCTATCCGTGTGTCAAAAGGGCCAAGATGAACAATTTACTTCTCATAAGGCAGACTTAAAACTCCAAGGGCAGAACATAAGCCTCATGAATATCAAATTTATGTTATAGAATAAAATGCTTGAAATTTACATCAATATTATAGAGAATCACCAAAAGTAGCAAAAATAATTACAGCATAAGACCTGTGAATATTAGATGTTTAGATTAAATAATGCAATTGTCCACAATGCCAATACAAGGAAGCTCACAGTATATGGAGCATCAGAAAACATAACTGTCATGGGGCATATTGATCTTCAGGAATATATGTTGGAAAAAGAAATAAAACGAGAGCCAAATAGTGTAGAGAAACAAATTTGCCGCATTTCATGGATGCCGTGTCTAACCGGAGACGAACACACTATTGCAAAGAAGTCAAACAGGTTAAAAAGAAATACGAACAAGATAGACTTCAAGTGTTTCCCACTGTCGATTGCTCTTAGATTGTTGCACTGTTGTACCCACATCAAGTGAGCCATGAACAACTGCCTCATCTTGTGATGAAGTCAACAGAAGGCCATTTGTTTTACTATCATTCCTGAAAAGCAATTATTAACTATTTCAATGGACCACCAAATGAATAAAAGATTAAAACAAGAAGATTCAATAGCATGGCAGGTAAATGTATGTTTGATATATTTACCCAAGCGACGGGGGAAATGGTCTGCTAGGACAGCATTTCAATGACATTGCAGTAAAGACTCTTTCAAGTTCCCTGAACAACCATATCATATATAAAAGCATGTCAAAGAAATTTGGGACTACAGCAGCTTATGGGAAGACGAGATATGAGATACGGACGGAGTAATACCTTTTCTGTCTGGAACCCTTCCAAAACATAAGGATCACAGTAAATGCCATGTCATATAAATTTGACTCTACCAGCAGATCAATTAGATCAGATGATGGTCCATCATTTCCTGAAAGAAAAGTTTGTAAAGATAGAAACAAGTGACTGAAAGAGCTGGCCTTGGTGTAAGATGAGAAGCCTCAATATATCTAGGCTCAAAATGCTGTCATGTCTTATAATTTGGATTGAAATAAGAAAATAGCAGCCCCTAGAAGTCAATAGATGGGATAAATCATGCAAGGAATCAAACTCCATGTTCAGGCAGATATAAAGAAAAAGTTGTTCAAAAAGTAGCACCAGTCATTAAAAGTAGGCAAACATATTCACCGTTAACATCATAGAAAGAAACTAATCGACCTATAATTTTACTGTTTTTTTCTGAGATAACTAACCATGCACAGTCTTACCGGTAAAAGTCCACTTGACGTTCGACAAAGAAAGGAAATATTCCGCTGATGTGATAACAAACTCATTTTCAAGTTTCTCAACATCCAAATATGATTGCAGCTTTTGAGGCTGACCATCATCATCAAGAGCTGAAACAGGAGAGGAAAGAAAACAAATTACTGTCACTGAGTAAACATTAGAGAGGAGGAACGGAAGGATGAATATCAGAATAAAGTCAATGAACATGGCAACATTGACAGTTTCCTAAATATAAGTTTACTGCGAAGGATAATATACATTTTCCTTCCATGATTGTCCTAGCCTTTTTACTCGGGTAGTTTTCTTTATATAGAAAAGTTTCGTCAACTGGAGCTTCAATCCAAGCATACGTAGGATGAACAAGATGTAGAGAATTAATAGCAGCAGATAGCCCATTCAGCCTCTCTTGCAGAGCCAAAGACCTGGGCTGGTGATCTTTTAATGCTGCTACAGCCCTCATCTGCACGGAGTACAGGTACATATAACTTGCAGCCTTACGCCAGTTATGTCTGTACATCTCGAATGCATAAAGTAATTTGAATGGGTTTGGCTTAGCTGAAGAATCTGAACGCTCTGCCTGCAGAAGAAATATGTCAATGATATTAGTCTGCCAAGAAAGAACTTGGAAGATAGAAGACTTCAAGTCTTTGTGAAATCATCAAATACCTTCCACACAAGCTCCCGCTCTACCTTATCCACTAAACCAACCAAAGGTAACTGGCCATCACAAAGTATCTGCAATCAATATGAGCACAAAACACTCAAATTTAACACCGTGAGCTTTTTTTTGCAGTATAAAGGTATTTTAGTGAACATTCACCCATATGAAAAAAAGGACTTCACTGTAAAATGGAAGAAAAGAAGAAAAAAGAGGCTTCAGAAAGCCTAACTACTTCAAAATAATAGGGGTCAATAAAATTTAGCCCTTGTGTGAGCCCCATTCTATAAAACTCATTTTCTCCGAACATGACATTTTCAACCACAGTTCTCCGAATAAAATAAAATAATTTTGCATGTAAATCCAGAACTTCCAACTTTTTAACCACACATTCTCCAAAAAAATCACTTTTTACAAAATCTTATCCTCAAAAAATTGGGCTCAACAGGGCTTTAATCCGTAAGTAAAATTTGTAGTAAGTAAAATTTGTAGTACTATAATGTCAATGCTGCACAAGCAATGCAAAAAACTGTAATTGATAGATTTGAGAAAGGTTTTGAGATCGTGAGCATTGCATGCAAATATTGTGCAAGAGAATTAAAAGATATTAAAAAATGAAAAGAAAGAAAAAAGAAAACCACCATGGACAACAACATCATTGAGCACAAATGAAAACATTATGATTAATAGTCAGCACTTAATATCTTCTCTTCTACACTTAAATATGGAAAGTCAAATGCCACAAACAGAGAATCTACAGAAAGGGGAACAAATAGGCCCAGGGAAGAAAATAGAAATAAGACAGGTAAAAATGATCACAACACCTTTACTGCACCACGCTCATAAAGAACGATTATGAAACGCCTCAAACAAATATTCTTGCTCTCTTCATCAGGATTTGAAATTATTGCACAATATGCATCATGGTAGTAATTAAGATCCAAAGTGAACTTGAAGACATTTGCCCAAAGTCGGCCCTTTACTGAAGTTACTGATCCCCCAAGGAAATCTTCCCTGGAGCTGCTATCTATAGGACTAACAGCTTCATCAACTTGCTCAAGTGCAGCCAGAGCAAATTGGCAAGCAGATTCACTCATATTATATTGTTCAAATATCTGCATCACCCATTGATAATATTGAAGCTTCCATGCTGCAGGTGGGAGAGAACCAGCTGGAAGAAAATACATGAATAAATAAAGTAGTACCATATAAGATCGTGAAAAATGAAAAGAAAGTATTTAACAGTTTAACATACTGAAACTAACACTCAGCCATCCTGCTTCATGTGGCAAACTTTGCAAAGCCTGGGAAGCTCCTTTGAGTGATGCAGCTCTGTACAAAAAAACATTAATAGCATATAAATGGAACTTCCTTTTCTTCCATAAATGTAGCTAAAGATAGCAGTTCTAAATTAGAACTCCAAAGAGAGGTTTGTGCAAGGATCAATCTGACAACTGCTTGAATGAAATTGAAACAAAGACTTCAATAAAAAAAAATAAAAATAAAAAAAGTATATATATTAGAAAAAAATATAATTGCTATTCATAACCAGCTAGAAAACAAACCAACAGCAATCAGCCAATGCTCAAAAGAAAAGAGCCCAAAAGAGGGACATTACAGACATGAGACAACTAAACAAGATACAGAGAACAAATCCCAAACAAGAACTCGTGAATATGGGAGAAAACAAACCACACAAAGACCTATTTTTTTAGTTCTCAAATTTGTTTTCTGTTTAATAGAAAGTGGATAACGAAAAACCTTGAATACCTGAAAAAGCAGCGAACGGCTTCACCAAGTTTCCTGTCTTTAAATGGGCCATGCAATCCATGTTGTGTCTGAGCAACAAGACAACATCCAAGAAGATGGAGAAGTGTGGGTAATTTCCCACCCAGAACCTGAAGGCTTTCAAATATTTTCTCCTTGTGTGAATATGCATCCACCAAAGTAAGCAGATACTAGATGAAACAAGAACTTGTTTGAGAACCATTCCCAGGTTTATAATATTCAGAGATTGGATAGTATAACGATATTATAGCAAATCAAAAGCAACAAACCTCGGCCGCATTAAACTGGCCATGTCTAAGTAAGACTAGTGCAAGATCAATTGAATGGCTGAAAGATACAGAAGATTCTTCTCCATCTCTTCCCCATATTATCCAGCTAGTGAACTCCCGACTTAAACTAATTAAGCTGCTAGAGAGGTGGCCCAGATCTCCAGAGGAACTTTGCATACTTAATAATAGGATAAAAGCTAAAGGAAAATCACACTTCCCTAGCCTCTCATTTAACGATCTTTTATCATCATTGCCATCTGACCATGATCAAAAGTGAAAATCATCAATCAATTAAATTCTAGATTATAAATCAATCTCAAAAACATCACAAGAAAGTTAAGTTGAATAAACTCCGACTATACGTCCATCAGTGATCAGTCCATGCTGATTTGCTATTCTTTTATATAAAAAAGACTGAGTCATACACCATAAAAAGAAACTACCTAACATCTCTGTTAATATTTTGCCCCCGTTTGATAGCCGTTATTTGACAAAAACAAAGTTTTGAATGGTGAATTTTTGAGATTATATGGTTAAAAAGTAGGTAAAAGTTTTGAGTTTACATGCAAAATATTTTTATTGCGTGAATGTGTGATTGAAAATGAGTATGTAGAATAAAGAGTATTGAAATAATGGTTGTCAAACAGGGGCTTAATGTTTACCAAGATAAATTCATAAACAATCACATTAATTTCATAAATTGAGAGAAATGGAGAAATTAAACAGCAACAAGTGAAAGTTAGGATAGTCCTACCGATTTGTAACGATGAAAGTAGAGAACTAAAATCTTCAATTGCAGGAGATTCAGATGGTGTGGTCCCAAAGAAATGGATAATATGCCATTCGGTTAGACTTTCTTGAATCATAGGAATTAACTCAAGTTTTACTCTTGAAACATCGTTGTGTGTCATATTAATCTGTAAAGTAAAGAATGAGTTAGAATTTCTTCATATAATAACAGATAAATATATTAATTCCAGCTTCCTAACACACACAGAGATGTGTGCAGTCTAGTATACAATCGTTACCCAAAAGTTCTGAAAGTTCTAGGTGTAAACAGCTCAACTTCCTAAAACCTTAATGCTGATAGAGAGAAAGAGATGCAACCACACTCTGGTTTATATAATCAGGATCCCATCTCGAGTCCTGGAGGATTTGGACAAGTGGAGGACAATAAGATCCTAAAACTTATTAGAAACACTTTCACACTCGTAGCATCCATAATGAAATAAAACTCCCAATAACATGGTTCTCCAAAGGTAAAGAAGAAAATATTTCGAGGCAAATAAAAACAAGGTGCTAAGTTTTAACAAAATAGTTGCATAGGATTTATTTATTTATTCTTTTGAGTGATAGGGTTTCATTCTGTAATTTTTGCAACAACAGATATGCATGTAGACACTGAATACCACACCAGCAAGCATTATAGTAAGAAGCTGAGTAGAGGCTCAGCATAATGCTCCCATATTTCTGTTCTCCCAGTATATTTATACAGTACAGTCATGGCACCATATCTTAAGAGGGATTTCACTCTCCTCGACATGAATTGAAATTATTAAGAAATTCTAAAGCCAAAAATAGGTTGACAAACTTCAGAACTCTTTTGGGACCTAAAAATAAAGACGATGGTGCAATTCCATACTCGCAACATTCTGATATTGTCATGAAAACTGTAGATTCAAATCCATTCTCATTCAAAAAGAGCCTTTTTAAAGATATCTATCAGTGTACCGTACCAGTTTTGTTTTTATTTTTGATGAATCAACCAGAAAAATAATCTCACATTTTGCATGAACTTCATCGCTCTTTTTCTAAATTGGTACATTTTGACCCCCTGGTGATGACTGGCTCATAAACTGAACAAGATTATACATTTCCACTGGAAAACAATGTACAATAAAATGCAAAAGCATTTCTGCCTCAACATCTCAAGTGATTATGTAGGTAGATTATGCATTTACTGCCCCCAAAAGCAAAATTTACCCGAACACTATTTCGTGCAATTATAGGAAATAAGAAATATCCTTCATAGAAAGATACCTAGACGTGTTAATCAAGAAAGAGGATGAAAATGATAATTCGCCCAATAAATATGACCAACAAGTCTAACGAGGATTATTGGCATCAGAGTAAACGTTGACTACTTACAAAGATTTGTGATTTTGTAAGACTTTTGGCATAGTTGAGTTGACCTTTTTTACGTGTTTTACCTTCCATGACTCTTTTGAAATACCAAACATGCAGAAAGTACAATGAAATTATTCCTAAATGATATGAAGCCAATTAGAAAAAATGTGAGATATCATTGTGCACTTTTATGTACCTAGTGCAGTTGTTTTGAAACTAACCTGCCCACTGATGCTAACCATATAGCTTAGCAGCATAAGAACATCCAATGCAGATTCAAACATAACTTTGGCAATTTGGGAAGTAGCCTGTACTATTGCAAAACCATTAACATTAAAGACTGCTTCAGAACCCAATTCGAGTACAATTTTACGAGGCACTAGAAACCTTAAGTAGCTCTCGATAACATACAAAACTTTGCCCCAGGTGTTAGCTCTATTGCATAAAGAATGAAGAGACAAAAACATATCTGTTGAAAATTTTCTTAAACTTCTGTGATTCGACACTTCTTTCTCCCATGCAATATCAGCTCCCAATTCTGATATTTGTAGAGCTGCAATTGATGAACTATATCCTGTTTGTAGAATCTTCATAAAGCGAGGTACAACCTCCTCAGACGAGATATGAGGCATGCTAAGAAGTGACTCGTAAAATATAACCGAAGAGGCTTTGCCCAACTGCTGGCTCACACAACTAACACACTGGAGTAACTCAAAAAGAATCTCCCGATCAAGCTCATCACCAGATATTTGCAGTCCAGAGTTTGTATTATTGCTAAGTTCATTAAAAGAACCTGATAGCATAAGAATTAAAGAAATGTCTGCATTAGATAAAATTGTGGACATTTGATAAAAGAAATGCAGTTAAAAAGCTCATGTGTAGGATTTTGTTTATCAGTATGAAGTTTGATGTACCATATATAAGATGTTCTACGTCCTCCAAACCACGGCACAGAGAAATTGCATTTTTTCTGATTAAACCAACAGCTCCTGTGACTGAATCCATCAGTAGACCACAAGCTACATTGTTTTTACACCAATTATTGAGATAGCGGGTACAGAAAGTTTTCCAACACTGAAGCATTGAAACTGGATTTTCACAGCCACCCTACAGTAGAACACACAGTTATCAACTTCTTGAACCCCTACCACTTTCCACAAAAAAAAAAAAAAAGACAAATGTGTGTGTATATATGGTGCCCCCTACGAATGTGAATGTATGTGACTCTAGGTATTGGTATGTATGTAGATATACAATTACCTACATATGCAATCAATTAAAAAAAAATGAATAAACTATCATGTCTACCCTTCACTCCAAGAATTGCAGGTTTCAGATTTTGGTAGCCTTTTGAAAATTATTTTTAAATTCAATTTAAAGAATAGCAATGGGGCAATCATAAGGCTCCCATTCAAATTCAACTGGAGATCAACGTTGTAAAATTTGATTTGGCATGATCTAAATGAAAGTTGAGAAAGTGAACATACGTGACTTGAAAGTTCAAAGTGGATGTCTAAATTAAATTACCTAATTATGTAAAGAAGGACAATGTATATGGAGGCAGAGGCTACAAGAAATGCAAGAGAGACGTAAAATATCTAATTGTTGAAAAGAATAGTTCTTTTTTCTAAAAGGTCAATGTGGGAATCAAGAAAATACCTGACGCTCAACAAGTGAAAGAATTTCATTTTTTAGTCCATCAACAGTAAAGGAGTCAAACTCAGAATCAGTAAAGTGCTTGTTATATTCTTGTAAAGTTTTCCTGAGCACCAAAGCATGATGAACCCCAGGAAAAAGCAGCCTACGTAAGAAAATAGAAGATACAAATGGAGCAATTTCATCCTGCAAAATTAGCAGTGTTGTCACTTACAAGAACACAGAAAATTCACTCATCTGTTTTAAATAAAATCTAGAACAAAATAACATAAGTATACCCTCACAACCCAAATACTCTTATTTCGCCTTTTCATATCAAAATATCCAATCATAGAGAACCTCAAATTCAGAGCAACATCATCTCACTTTATTAGCATACCCGTTGGATATTTGACACATTGTCAGCAACTTCAATAAGTGGTTTTTTTAAGAAAGGGTCATGTTTCAAAAAAAAAATCTTGGCGTGACCTCAAATAAATGCATATAACATTTGTAATTGTATAATAAAATCCTGATAGACTATGCACTGAAATAGATAAAATAAAAATAAAAAATCCCTCTGCAGCAGAGAAACAGTGTTAAAGAAATTAAGAAACTGAGGATGGGAAATTTCATAACTATCAATATAGAAAATCACGTTCTCTCCAACACAAAGGGCCTCCTAGTTGGATCTACCTTCACCCATCACTTACAAATCAATATCTCTGTTCTCCCAATCTATCCTACATAACACACAACGAGGGAAGAGATCATCAGCTTCAAGCAGAGAAGTGTGGATACTTGCCTGCAAGTCTAACCTACAGCCTTAAACAAAAAATCAGAGGCTTTCATCACAGAGATGTATACTTCTATTGTCATACACTTATACTACATTCATCTAGTACTTAATCAAAGTACAGAAATATATAGTTAATACAAATGCTGTATACGCAATCTGATATCCATCAAAATATGTGTTGGTTTGCATGTGCACTCTGCTGAATTATTTACATACAAAACAAAATAACTGTTGAAAGAGGAGAAAAAATATCAAGAAGTTAAACAACAACAACGAACTAAGCCTTATTTCAAACAGGAGTCTCTGTTCACAAGAACATATCCTACAAAATAAATTTCAAAGGATGTGTCACAAATTCATTGGAGATCAGTAAGCTATGAGCACGGACGGTGAATTATGAAAACTAAGGCACTAAAAAACGAACAAAATTAAACAAAAAAAGAAAATTATTTACCACCTTGGAAGATGAAAATGCTGCATAGGCAAGCCAAAGAAGATCATCTGAAGAATGCTCAGAACTTTGAAATAGCAGGTCTGCAACATACACATCCTGCAAAGCATAGTAATTTGCCAATCCCCTAACATGAAGTGCAGCGTTAGCTAAACTCAAGCAGAACAGCGGAACTAACTCTTGAAAAATTCAAAGGGTTAAAAGGAAGAACTCTTTGCACTTGTTCGTATTTAGTCACAATTAAGACTGTACACAACCGTAAGTAAGCCCCCAAGAAATAGTATTTGATACTCAATGGTCTACAGAAAATAATCCAGACCATTAAAAATGGCTCCCCAGAGATAAAATAAAATGAAGCATCTGAATCCACTTTGATCTCTTCAAGTAACAGAAGAAAAATAGAAATTCGGCCAGAGGAAAAACTAGCTCAGTCTAAAGTCAAATGAATAGAATTAAACGTATAACCAGCACTGAGTAACTTACTCCACCCCATTAAACAACTCTTGAGTTATCAATCCTTCTTCTGTAAGTATGTAAACTCTGTCTGAAGTAAGTCTAACATCAATTGGTCCACCCTGACAGGATTCAAGACGTAGATATAGCATGCAGTATCTCAAAATGGATTAATTATAAAATGTAAGCATTAGAGACCAAAAAAAAGGTAACAAAACTATTACCTCCCCTAAAGAGATGTTTTTTAATGATGGCTCCAGCATCAACACTCTCCCATCTCCCAGATTATAACGAAGGCTATACAAAAAGATAGTATCCACTCTAACATCCTTAAAATTAAACCAAAAGAAACGAGTAAATATAACTGTCCAGACATTTTTTGAGCATAAAAGTAGAGCTAATCTGCAGAAAAGTCATTTTCAGACTCCAATCACGTCATATGCAATGCACTAAATATTGTTTTATCAAAGTTTTCAGAAAAGATAATAGAAGTAATCAGTGAATACGTTCATTTCAGGAAATGCTATACCAATAATAAAAGTAATCAGCAAATGAATTATTTTTGTGAATGTGCAAAGCAAATCTGCTATATATGAATCCAACATTAGTTAAATCATGTTCAACATTCTTATCAAGTTTGCATCAGATATTTGGACTACCCCAGAGTCCTCGAACATAGGTAGTACTGCCTGCAATATCAGACCAGACCATGAATTGACTTGGCTATGCTACCACGTCACTTGGTCACCGGTTGGACTGGTGGGCCATTATTTAATTAAACTTTTTTTAGTTATTGGAAGTAAAATAAAGTTTTAAATCGCTTATTGTTGATTCCAAAAATATTTAATTTTTATTCACGTGTTAAGTCATGTTTTATGGATTAATATGTTGATATTATAAAATATTTCCTATAGTTCAAATAGAATGCAATAATATATTTGTTAAATAGGTTAATGTATGATGGAATATTTAGATACTTGAAATTTGGTCATATATAATACAGTTGCTTATGTTAAACAATGATATGGGCTAGCCTTGTGATGGTTTCCTCTCTATGGTTGCTAGGAGGTCCAAAGATCAACCCCCCCCCCCCCCCCCACCCCCCCCTCCCACAAAAAAAAAAAGATTTTTTTGGAGCAGTTCAAACTACTAGCAGGTTTCACTGGTTCGCCGGGTTTACGAAAAAATCAGCCATTTCGTCCAGTTTACTACAGGTCAATAGCTAACATATCAGAATATACTACCTGGACCGGACCATAGTCCAGTTCACCAATTTCCCAGTTGGACCGGCCAGACCGATCCTGGTTTGATAACTATACCTACAAGAGTAGCAACCATAGTTCAGATAAAAAGCACAAAAGCTTGATGCAAAGTCCAACCTACTCAGACTCCGTACTTCAAATTCTTATTCTGGAATTCAAAAATTGTCATTTTCTAAAGAAAGCTGACTTCGAGCCATTGCAGCCCCCATACACAGCTCATGACCATTGATCAACCTTACATTCTTGAACTCCTTCAACGTCATTACCTATGGACTCTTCTGCAATTTTCATTTGAACCAAATACATGGCACCCAGAAACATGTACAGAGCAATAAAGTAACCTGTCACATTGATCCATCCCCATCCACCCTTTTTGTCTTTTAAGGTTAAAATAGCAGAAGGAAGGCATTATTAGAGAACTTAAAGAACATTTCATTACTTCTATTACAAGCTCATTATTTGGAGAGCTCAAGACTAAAAAATTTTGGTGCAACTCAAAATTAGGACAGGTGAAATTCATCAAAACTTAATTTTGAACCGCAACAGCTGCGACTAAAACTCAAAAAGCAATATGGGATACTTTGCAAATTGTCACTTAGTATCTTAAAGAAGTCGTTCGGCATACTCATTGAAAGAGAACAAGAAGTTTCTATCAAATTTATATAGCATATAATTTTTAAAGAAATATATAGCACTTAAAAGTTAGGGAAGTGATGAATTCCTAAAGGGCGAGGGTTCTAAGCATGGATGTATAAGCTTTCAGTAGCAAGAGGGCTTGGTTTGTCCAGAGAACAGATTAGCCATTTGTTATTATTTCATAATAGATGACAAGCAAGGAAGCTGGAATAGTTTGTTCAAAAAATATAGTGTCGAGTTTTCCCTTCGAAGCTTAGCCTTCCACATATTTTAGATATTTCAAGAACAACCTTCTCACTCCTCAAACCAACCAACTCACCACCTCTCTTTCTGTCAGGGGGGAGCTTCATTTTATTCAAGTAGTCTATACAAGACACAACTCCACGTCTTCACCAATGGTTTCCTTTCCCAGAATTATAACTTGACAAAAAGAGGCAAAAGTGGAGTAAATTGCGACCCGATGAGCATCACATTTTCCTCCACCTAGTTGCGGATAAATAGCCAAAAGAAAGTTGATGCTGGAAATCCATTATTCATACAGGATATGTTCTACATTCTAGAACTACTAAATCAGACCCGATTCATCCACCCTATGATGCACGGGCACTGAAATGTGTGTCCGACACGCGATTTTTCAAAAAAGTATTGACACGACGCGTTGTCGACATTTTGATTAAATCATTTAAAAAATTTCAGTTATATAGTATAAATTCACTTTCTTCATTTTTCTTGTTGAAATATTTTAAATACGAGTACATATTTGTAATTTACCCTAGTCGAAATGTCCATATTACAGAGCATCCACCTCAGGAATCCATTACCAAGCAAGTTCCAGAGTTTCAGGCACACTTATTCTTCAAAATCAATCTGGTAGAAATGAAATGAGTTCTAGCCATTGTTTGAGCTCCATTTTTTAGCAAAAAATGTAATTTTGAATAGTGCTTTGTTGGAGATTGTGCGGTTAAAAAATAAGGAAAACTTTTTTATTTACGTATAATATTATTTATAGGAGAGAGTGTGGTTGAAAATGAGTTTTGAAAAAATAATTTTTTTGAAAGAATGAGGGCCAAACATAGGCCTAATTCCTAAAGGATGTTAAGATAGGAAAAATATTTAGCCACATAATTATATAACACTACAACAGACAAACATATACATGTAAAGCAACAAGTTCTTAATTTTCATGATATCCATATTGAAATCTTTTACAAGTCATAACATATCTATTTCCATTCGCATAGCGCAGATAACCACGAGCAGGTGTTTTATTCATGACTTCTATGTGAAGTGATAACCATCCATAATTCCCGTAGTCTGCTATTTTGAATAGTTAGCTATTAGAGATCATAAAGAAGCATTTCACATAGCAATAGGAAAATCAAATTGCAGATGCACATTAAAAAAATTATATATAACATATAATTGCATGTCAGTGCATGTGCAGATTGAGCTAAAACATGGTGTTGGGTTCTCAGAAAGGGCATGACCAGAACTTTGCATCACATGGTTTTTTCAATGAATAGAAGAAAAAGAAACAACAAAATAATAAATAGAAATTCGCAAAAAGGAAATAGAATGGGGAACACGAGAATATCTGTAACATATCAATATGCAATTCTAAGTTCCATTGCCATTTTAAGAGCCTCCTACCAAGTTCTGTTCATGTAGCATTGCCAGAGGAATTATGCCAGTATCATGGTTAGCTTCTCCCACCCATAGCCTTACAAATGTACCTGAAAGTAATATGTGGATGAAACTTCAGAACACAAATTGATGAAAAATTATATCAACGGTAGAAAGCTATTTTGCAAACATCAAGAAAATTAGATAACGCCATTATCTTCAATTCAAAAACTAGCTTCATGAAGTGCACGGGCAAATCATTACGTCTCCAAATTTTCAGATATATACTTAACCTATTTCCTCCAATACCTCCACCAATTAATGGCGCAGCAAGTAAATCGTAATTTTTTTGTTTTTGGATCCTTTCAAGTAGAGTTGACTCGAATGAATAATCTATCAAGACCAAAGAAATTATCGGTTTAAAGTTTCCACATACTTCCATGGACAAAAATGATTTTTAGAATAATTTTCAACACTTCCTTTTTGATTCAACTTTTAATAATGATAAAGTTAAGGTCTTATCTCCACCTTATACTTTTTTAGTAAAACGTGGAGGACCATTACGTATCCTGCCACCAGTACAAGGTGGATATTCTTTCTCGTATCAACTCTACTAAAGGCATTACAATAAGTAGACCAAATTTAACTTAGCCTATGTTAATTATTTTAGATCTCCCAATTGATCTAGCTATGAAAACAATAGAATAGCGAAAAAAGATTCATGTCCTGAATCTTTTAACTTATGGAGAACAAAGTTTAGTTTGTTGTTGTTATAGACAATCATGTCAAGGCAAGATCTAATAAGCAAACAATATCCTGGCGCATAGATACTAAGTCAAATGCTGTTTTGTATATTAGAATCTCAAGGATGAGAAAAGCAAGTCTAAATAGTCGATTAAATCATCATAAAATACTAATTCAGAGAAAGACGGTACACTTACCTGGTGATGTTGAAATTGCCACTGCCTGACTTAAAATTTTACTACTGCTAAAAAGGTCCCAAACTCGGAAGCTTCCATCAGAATGAAGCACAAAAAGATGCTTTTTATTTGATACCTCTGATATGACCAAATCCTGTACAGCAGCTACCGTCCGACTCCTTGATGATAATTGGCATTAATGGGAAGAAAATGAACAATCAAGTAAGATGCAGAAAACCATAATAATTTAATTATTGTCCATACGAACCATCATTAAAANCTTTTCTTTTCTTCAGTATATTATTGTAGTTGTATTACTAATTATCATCATCAATATACAAAAACTTCCACCCAAAATCTACAATAATGTATAAAGTTTGTCAATCATGAAAACAAAATTGTGTTTGGTGGTCGTACAACTCCTATTTTATTTATTTTACAGAGGCAATACTTGGAAATGGCTTAAAAAAAGAAATGTAACACATGGGTGTAATAAAAATGCATGGCATCAAATGAACTATGGATCTATAGCTCTACATCATTGAACTTGTTTCATTGATGGAAAACTGATATTTGATTCAATACAAAGCAGGATTGTTTGACCAATCAAAACTAGCTAGATCAAATCCTTGCTTATTTTTCAAGACATCCCATAAATTTTGCCATCTAATTTAATGGGTGTTTCTCGCCTGCTTTTGGTAGATTTTGCACAGTTGAAAGTTTACGCGCAGATCCAACGGTAACCAAACCACATCAAATGCGAACAATCTAATTTGAAGACAAAGTGCATAGCATGATTTCTTTTTTTTTCAGATAATAAAATAAAATACCAAAAACTGGACAAAACAATTAAGGTAGGTAAATGAAGATAAGGCAGGAGAGAGATCAAAGGGGAATTGATTTAAGTGCTCAATTGATTGTAGGCACTAAAATTTCTCCTCCATCACCCTTTATTGCTGTGGAAGCCCCTCAAAAATATATATTGGAAACAAAATTTTCACTTCTAAAGATTTCGAAAATTTGGAGAGTACTTTTAAAAGTATATATGGCTTTAGAGCATGTCTGGTAGTGTTTTTTTTTTCAAACTTATAAGCTGATCAAATATAATTTACATATTTTGTAGGACCCACAACTTTCATACATTTTTTTTATCCACACGTTCACTAGGACCCACAACTTATAATCTACGAAAAGATTTACCGAACATACGCTTCTATTGATTTTTTTCTTTTTTATTTGTAAGTAGACAAGCTAAAAATAGAGACTCGACCGAATAACACAAAAACATGGTGTATGTGAGGCTAAAATGACAACAGAATTTCTTTAAACAATAACCTATTATTCAGCTAGTTCTGCAAAAATAGTAAGGACAGAAATAAAGAGCTAGCACTATGAGCTCCCAACGGGGGCCATAACAGTGATCATGTCAGTATCCAACTCTGTTACTTAGACATTGGAGCTGGGACATGTAATCTACGATATTTGACACCAGTTGCTTAAGCAGGGGGGATGGAGGGAGAGAGCAACAACACTGTAAATTAAGTAAGTTTAAGTATAATTGTGTCAAAATACCCAAAAGGAAAGACTGCAAAGAAATCCATATAAAAAAATCAGTGTTTTAAACCACTTGGATCTAAAAGATATGAAAGCCATTTTTTCTTTGATAGTTGTATTATATAGTTTTAACTCTCAGTTATTTTAATAAAATAAATAGCTTATCTTATTTAAAAGATTTCAACAATAAATACCAAAACTAAAAATTTATAGATTTTATTAAAATAAAAAGTATTAAACTAAAGATATACTATATAAATGTATGTTGAAGAATTAAAATCTATGTGTCCATATCCTACTTTTTTAAAAATCACGTGTCAACGTATCGGATTCACGTTTCTATGTTCGTCCAACAAGCTTTTAGAGAGTCACATATATATCATTTAAATTGTCTTTAACGCGCTCCCTCATAAGTAGGCGAGATTCATTTTTTACCATTAAAACCTAACAGTTAACACAATTCATTTAAACAGATGATAACAAAACTTGAACAGTTGAACTCAAGACTTTTACCTACTATATACCATGTTGAACCACTTAACGTAGAAGTTTAAGCTTTTAGAGATGGTCCTACATGTATACCAGATAAATTATCTTCAACAAAACAGAAGGAAGATATGCAGTCGCAAATCAGATTGATATTGAGGATACTTCAGGGTTATGAACTCATGGACCTTGTTTGACAACTAACCACCATTTTAAATGCAAGAGTACAATATTTGGGCTATTTATATTGTATCATATGTAAAAGCTTCTCTATAAAGGTTGTTCACCTCGTGTAATATCAGTCAACACTTGGGCAAGCATTTAAAATTCGTGTCTCTGATACCACTTGCGTTTGTTAAGAAAAGAAATAGGAAAAATGAAATCTTAAATCTAAATAGAAGAAGCACCAGAAAAAAGAATATAGAACCGCTTATTATCTAAATTTCACCAAGAGGTATGGCTAAATATAGCATTAACTCACGTCAATGAATATTTTTAACAGGCAAAAAAAATCTTTGAGCCAGCTGGTCATCTTACAAGAAAGCATAAAAAACGGATTACATGCAACAGTACCAAAAAAAATAAAAAAAGAACATAAATAAGTGGAGTCTTGAGAGACATATTTAATCATCATAAACTGAAATCGGATACCTTGACATTATGCCCCACAACCGACCAAAACCAGCATCATCTCGTAGTTCAGACACAAAGCCTATAAATTAGATTAAATAAAAGGATTAGAAAAGATACTCGAAAGCAACATAACCATAACTTCAAAATGATGCAGAACTGAAAGACAACTGTGGAGTCAACTTTTTAGCAGTCTACTTAAACAACCAAGGCCACTAATTCATATTTTAACATCATTTTTTAAAAACGTCGTGAATTTATTGAAAAGTAAGGACAATTGGATAAGACCCTCAATCAATAAAGTGAAACTAATCAATGGTAAAGAACATCTCCAAGAGTCTCTTATGTTTAAAGAGCATCTTACATTTAAAGAGTCTCCTAGAGATGCTCTAATACATCTTACCTATCAAGAGGAATCAAAGAAAATTGTTTAAATTCCTAATCGGCGATAGCCCATAAAGAGCTAAAAACTTAGTCCTTCCCATAAACAAAATGCTTCTTGTTCCTTCTTTTTAAAACTTTTACTATGCTCCATTTGTCAGAACCAAAAAAGTCCCAACACTACATACATCCACGCGTCCATCTCACATCTCGTAACCTTTCCGTCACAAAATGAACCATTTGTCTCTAAAGAATAACTGTGTTTTTCTAAAAGAAAACCGACATATATTAGTAACATGCTCCGCAAACATCTCGCAATATCAGAATGCAACAAGTAGACAATGATTTCCACAACCTTCGTAGAGATCACACACCAGAAATTAGAACGAAAAAGATGAGGTCTTTTCTTTTGCACTATGTCACAAGTTTGATCATCCTATGAAAAAAGATAGTGCAAACACCTTAACCCTGTAAGAAGCTCTAGACATCCAAGACTTGAAACTCGATTCACAGGAAAAGATACCAGAGAATTACAAAGCTTATGATTTCTTATTTGAACAAAAGGGCCTGAGCAATTTCAAATGAGAAAGACAAATCCGAAAGCCCGCTGTCTCCAGAATAAAACAGAATTGCAAATGCCAATAAATCGAATTATTATCTGAGACTTTAAGAATTGAGTAATTAAGGCATTCTTCAACTGGGAAAGATAATTCAATCTAGGTACAGATACAGCAAAAGAAAGAGAACTCTCCTAACCATCCTCCCAAAAAAATCTCTCTCTCTCCTAGAACCACGTCCCACCTAGCAAGATCTATGAAAAAGAAAGACCCTGATAAAACTTAAGGATTCCTAAATGAATCTCTTCAGCCATTTTGGGCTCTAGCCTGTATTTACCTCACAACATGTCCTAAGAAAAAGCTTGTTCCCAAAGGAAAACCTCCAAAAGTCATTTACCTAGCAGAGGCAAGTTTATCATTTTAAGATTATGCACTTCATTCTTTGCTCCTAATCACAGATCAAATGCTACTAAACAATCTTTCAAACTCCCTTGCTCCCCTCTCAAAACATCTCTAGCATCAGAAGTTAGTCAACTGAGCAAGAAAATGTTAGTCGCTAACCACGGAAATGAAACATCGTAACATAAAAAATTGAAATGAAGATAAACAATATTATAGACCTGGAGCACTCGGGTCAAGAATGCCAACTTGGAAACAACTAATAGATCCATCCGTCCTTCCTACAACAAGACATCCTGGTCTTGCTGCAACTGCAGTTATTGCTCCATGATGTGGTTGAATTTGTGTTTGATACTCAAGAATATCGTTAGCTGGGAAAAGAGAATGGTCATAAATATTCCTTAGTCTTATGAGGTAAGCAACCCCTGAGATTGTCAAAGCATAAAGCACAAATTGATTTCCGGAAGCAAATTTGGCCTGCATAAAAAAGAAATAACAGCACAGCTTGGTCATATAGCAGAAGAAACGAAAAGGCAGTAACAGATACAAATTATTGAGAACTAGCAGACCTCATCTTTGCATATAAAGGCAAAGGGAAAAAGTGCATCAGGAAATATGATTCGGATTCCAATCCTTGGTATTTCTTTATAACTAGAGAGCTCTAAAATCTCGAGCATATTTGATTGAATCTTGCATGTTTTCCTGGAGCAATGTGATCATTGGACATCAACCATGTGTAATGTAAAATGAAAGCAACATACGACAATATGTATATGGAAATAACAAGAAGTTTAAGAAATCAAAGCAATCAATTGATAATGTTCAAGGAGAGAAAGCAGTCCATCAATTCCAACAGATTAAACCAAAAGAGGGTGTCAATAACAGACAGAGGCAACTAAAGTTGGTGTCCACAAGTTGTTCCTGAACTTAGATCCAGATCTACTGCAATGTCAAATCTACTGGCTTTTAAGTAAACCCTAAGTATATTTTTCACATTTTATGTCTCCCAGTATCAAACCTTAAAAAAAGATTTGGCACATTTAACGCGGCAAGATTATTTAAAATCTGATTCAATTGTCAGACAGATGTTTAGCACGATTGGAATGAAAAACCCATAAGTTACACAGAAAATTGTCAGGAACTATCTTTGCTTGACATTTCTCATCAAAAATTTAATATCCTGTCTAATAAGGAATAGTGTCAGCTGAATCTTGGGTCAAAAATCAACAAAAAGGGAGAACAACTGTTCAATTTCCTTTCAGGAATCCTTATACCATTTGAAGTCCTCCAATCATTTCACGTGGCCATAGAAAGAAAGGCAGCCTCCTGGTTTAAAAAGTAGCTAGAGGAATAACATAATTCAGTTCACCATTTCAAGCAAAACCTTGTATCTTGATGAATCTGTAACTACAAGAAATAAAATATATTAATAATAAACACACAAATAGAATGGAGGAGACTTCATTCCAGCTCTCTTTCAGTTGAAAGTCTCTTTGCAACCAAATCACATCGGATCGAAACCCTCCTTTTCCTTCCAATCGAAGTGATTCTCTCGAATTTATTGTTCAACAATCCCTTAACAGATAATCGTCTGGCATACTTAATTTTTGTTTGAAAAATAATTTTTAAAAGAATGAAGCCACACTGGACCAAATTCCTCTAAAAATTGTTCTAACTGGAAGAAGTACTTTTATAAAATTAGCCAAACAGATTCAAAAAGGGCATCAAAAGCTCCTTTAACTTCTCAAAAGCCATGTCAAATGGGCACAAAATATAACTAGAGAAAGTTCCAATAAAAACATAAGCTCAGAAAAACAAAATAAATAGCCTAGCAAGTAATCCAGAGTCCTCGCAACATAAACACTACTAATAGCAAATATCATAATATCATTGCAAGTGTATGCATAAATTGACATCTAAAAAATTTCAACTATATGCGGGAGGCTCACCAGATAAAATAGGTAGGTGGGTCTCCCGCGATACAGAAAGAGGCAAAATCCTTAGCTATTGGATTGGGAGGAGTGTTAATAGTAGAATTTGAAGTAAAAGGGACAGAAACTTGATGCCACTTGATGGAATCGGTGCCGAATATTGGAACCTCCATCCCCGCCATGCGCCACCCTCGTGTACTCCCCATTGCAGCCGCTCCGGCAGGGGGCTCGGATTCTGGGTTTTGGGAGGGAGAATTTGAGGGGTTTTAATGAGAGAAACCTCTATTTCGCCACTGGTGCGTGTATGACTTGGAAGTAATTTTGGATTGCGACTCGAGCTGGCCACTCTTTGCTCGGTAGGGGCGAATAAATGTGGTTCGATGCGGTCCGTATTGAGTTGGTCGATTTGAGGGCGGAGACTTTCATTTGCAATTCAAAATTAAAGATTGAGATTAATAAAATCTAAATATTGTTAAATTTAGAGTAACGTTATTTATCGTCGTAACGATGGAATATCGATAATGTGACGACTCATCATCCTTCACACTTCTATCTCCTCCCCCTCTCTCATCTTTATTCCACATAAACTGTCACATCACCGATATTTTATTATCATAATGATAAATAGCATTATTCTAAATTTATCATACGAATTGAAAATAAGACATGAAATGTAAAAAAATAAAAATTGAACCCTATTTGTGTGTTTGTGCTTTCATGTTTTACTTGTGCTCGAAATTGACATTAAAATAAAAAAATAAAGTAGAATTGATGAACATTGTTTGGCCAGTGGTATAGGCCCTGTTTGTTTGGGATTCTCAAAATTCTACAGTAAATCAATTCTTATTTTCAACCACACATTTTTCAATAAAATAATATTTTCCATCACATCAATAATTTTTTAATTTTTTTCTTCTTTTCCGATCACACATTTCCCATCATATCACTATTCAAAATCAATTCTTCCCCCAAAAATCCCTCCCAAACAAGCACATAATATGTAAATCGGACTTGAGTCAAGTTTAAGTGTGCCCGCAACTATGTGTATTTAGACACCTCAACGTATAATTGGCATGGATAAAAATTGTCGCAATGAATTAGTGCTTGTTTGGATAGTTTAAATTATAATTATTTGATCAAACATATTTTTTATCAGAACATTCCAATGAGACATGTTGACTAAATTATAATTTAAGCTTCCCAAACAAGCATTATTTTAGGTTTAAAACAAACATTTTCATATTCAGTATTTTTATCGTCAAATCAAACGTTCAAATACTTGCATTAAGTCAAATTTGTGCACACACTGCCGCTTTGCTACTCTATGTTAGAATAGAGGAAGCAATCTCAACTACTTATTATTTTGTTATTTATTAAATCAGGTTACTTTTAAATTTAATTCAACGTGTCATGGTAGAAAACACATATATATTTTAAAACATATTTCAATATTATAGAGTAATATTATTTAGTATCATTGGTGCTAAGTATCGTCCTAATAAGTATGTAAGTATCATTAATTAATTAAAAACACGTTAAGAGTGTGAAAATGAATCACATTTTGAAATATATTATCACTTGTAACTATTAGAGTTGTCAATTGATTGAATTTTGATCTGAATTCAATTCAAATTCGATGAAATTAATGAAAGGTGGATTCAGGAAGTCCGAAAACCTACGAAGATCCGATTTTGATAATTCTTTAACTAAATGAAACAAATATGCATATACGTCAATCCAATCTGGTTTGTTATAATAATATAATATATTTTATATATTATCACATAATTAATTATTATACATATATTTTTTCCATTTTGAAACTTGTATTATACTTTGCACATAATTTTTAAACGATAATTAATATTAGATAATAGTTTAATATTGTTAATTGAAATATTTGAAAAAAATTTAATTTTTTATTAATTAAAATAAGATAAAAAATATTTTATTAATTAATTAAATAAACAAAAGAGTCAACAATTGGAATTGTTTTCATTGTTCCCAATTTTCCACATCGAATACTCACTAGAATATCACATGATTTGCGATCTATAAATAGGTGGGTCAATAATTGAGTAAAAAGCTATATGAGCTTTTTAATTTTAGGATTTAAAAGTTGACTAATATACAAATTTTGTCTTCCTAATTTCTTCAATTTCGAATTATCCGATCGGATATATGATAAAGTAGCAAAACGGATATAGATTTAATAATTAAATATATATTGAATTATTGGATCGGAGGTGGACAAATCTGTTCTATCCATTTACAACTCTAGTAACTACCTAGATTAATGTTGCAAGTCATAATTAATATTTTGAAAATTAGACCGAGCATTAACCCGAGCATTAACTCGAAGAAGGAAAAGGGCCAATGGTCCAAGTGTCAAATCGAAGTTAAATCATGCTTGATCTAGAAAGTAAATAAATAAATCTCATATTGATATAAGATATTTAAAATAAATTACTATTGATATATACTTTATATATATTAAGTTTAAGAGAATTTTAAATTTTAACATTTATTAATTAGTTTTTAACAATCATTCCATCACATAAAAACTAAATGTGCCCAAAGAAGGTCATAACCCTACTTATAAATTAGAATGTGGAAATTACAGCCACACACTCAAAAATCATGTATAAATTTTTTTAATTCAAAAATCAAATGATAATTCAAAATTTTAATATTAATAATAATATAATTAAATTAAATTATTTGACATACCCACCCCATCCACTTCACCCCCAAATGGTAGTGGTGCATGTGGTGTCGGTGTTGACAATTGCGATGAAGGTGTTGGTGCTGGCGGTGGTGGTGAGGTAGCGTAACGTTCGATTGGTGCTGGTGGTGAAACGGGGTGGGGTGAAAAGTATTTTTAACTAATTATTTGAGTGATTATGATCAATAAATTGGTTATTGTGACCAATAAACAATATGTAAAACTAAAAATGTAAGATTGTGACTAAATTTATAATCGTGACTCACAGTTTGTTAACTTTTGACCAATTAATTTGATAATTTTTTATAGTAATCTAAAAAATTTGTGATTGAAAAATAATATGTGATATATTAATTTGATAATTTGTGACCTAAAAAAACTGTTATTTTTTACCGATAAATAAGTTGTAACCTATAAAATAAATAAAATGTTTAATTATCTATTTAAATAATAAATTTAATTATGACATGATTTTGGAAATTTCAAAACAAATTTATTAATTTTGAAACTGTATCTTTCAAACATTTTAGATATGTTTGTTCTCAATTAGAAATAATTAGTCCCAACAAGATTATAAACCTGCAAAGCCATCTTAGAAACTAGAGACTAAGAACTCAGAAGAAAAATTGGAGATAACGCGATGCTGTTGCTTCTTCTTTCTCTTCACCAAATAATTAGTCCCAATAAGATTATAAACCTTGTGCTCGCTCCAGCTGTTGAGGAGAAGCCCCAAACTCAAATCTCTCATCCCATAACAAGGTATCCCCCTCTCATACACGCACATACATTGATTTTTTGGCTTTGTGCATGTAGGACATAAATGAACTGATAAATATTTGCTTTCAAGAGTTTCAGTGCTCAATTTATTGGCAACTGCACAAGCAGTAGTTGAGAAGAAAGGTAAATTCTTGAATTTGCTAGAGTTGAAGAATTTTTTAGATTACCTGCGTACAGAATAAGTAGTATTTGATTTCTGTTCCTAACTTGCAGAAACCGCTAGGAAAAATTGTCAATGGAGTTCTGGGGAAAGAAGGCGCTCCAAAGGAGAGGAAAAATACTAGAATGGAACAAAAATAACAATACAAGAATACAGGTAGAAGACAAAATTAGTGCCGAGGTAAATAAAATCAAACTAAAACTATATCCCTAGCAGCGGCGCAAAAAACTTGTTCACGAAAATATATTTCGAATTAAAATCACCGCAAGTGTACGATTCGTTAACAAGTAATAAAGTTGAATTTTTGAGTCCGAGTATCGCCCCACGAAGATTGATTAGTTCAATTCTTATTACCTTAACCTTAACCGAAACTAAAATAAAGTGAAGTTTTGTTGTGATGAAATTATAACTAAAAAAATGTAAAGTATGTGGATAAAAATGATTTAACTAAATTAAATGCAAACGATGTTAAATGTAAGTTGGAGTGTTTGAATTTACAATGAATGTATTAGGATCACAAATCCCTATGTAATAATTTTTTTTTAACTCAATTCTACACTTTGACAATACAGTGAAATATTGACGAATCAATGTTCCTAATCATTCAACACTTTCTCTCAAGTAACGTGAAACATATTCTCATATATGGTCCGACTATATCTCTAGACAGATATGAACATACAAGAATATATGAGTTTTTATGAACGCTTAAAGATTCATACTAGACATAGTGGTATATTTGTATCCTCTATCGGACCCTACGATAATTTATATATGTCGAATACATTCCCCTTCTTTCAAATGCATGAAATAAGTCACCAAAATCACCCAAGTACCGTGCAAAATAATTATGGAGAAAATAAAATAATATAAATCATATTACGTAGTTCATCGTTCTCCTAACACAAATAAATCTAGTCCAACATGTTATGAAGAATAAAACACAACAAATATTTAAGAATCGACATCACCCAATATAATTCTTAAATTTATTGTCGTGTTCTGAGCTTCGATTTTCGTGTCCTTTGCTTGTTCTCTGCTCCAAAAACTCTTCCAAATATGTTGTAATGTGTCTTTCTCACTTTTGGATGGTCCTAGGATTTTAAAAGATGTCTCAAGATTCGTTTCCATAAGAGTTGCATTCAAACTAGAAAATCAGAAAATTTTCCCCGATTTGGTCTGGGCGGGCGCTCACTGAAAATGGGGCGGTCGCCCAGGCTTACAAATTTATAGGGAAAGGGTTTTGTTGTTTTATTGTGAAGTCACATTGCACAGTTTAGTCCTGCTGTTAACTTATGATTTTCTTTCAGGTTGCTTGTGGAATTACCAAGAGACCAAAGGATCCAATTGTTAACATTGATGCAGCAGATGTGGATAACGGATTGGCAGTCATGGAGTACCATAGCATTTATTTTTTATGTATGAAAATTTAATTGAGGCCCCCATTTCTTTAAAACCACACATTTCATTAACTTTTATCAAAATTTACTAATAATATAATTTTCAGCAAGACAAAACAAGGGCTTAGTCTCATTTTATATTATAAATTCTCTTGTGATATTGTTGTTCTATGTAATTTTGCAATTTTATTGGTTATTGACTAAATGAATGGTATAAAGTTTGGCATGTGAATGACCCTTTTATTGAAGATTGGAACGTACGAATAAATGTGAAATTTTCCGTGCACGCCAGCCCATCATATCCAGAGAATTTTCTACATGTTATTGGAAACATGGTTGATGTGGATGATGGAAATAGTAGAGCGACAATCTTCTTTCCCATTTCTCTCCTTTAGAGCACTTTTATGTTTTTCCCCTTTTTTGGTTGGGTGGATGGGGACATGGGATGGCTAGTGGCATCAGTGCAAGTAACTACAAAGTAGAATTTTGTAATCTCAGTCTCGCTGTCCGCAGCACAATTGAAAATGTCAGCTACTTTGCGTTCTCCGCTATCCTCTGAAATCTCATCGTCCTTCACTCATTAGTGAAATTGACTCAGTCATGCACTTGTGTGCATTTATATGCATATACATGTGTTAATTGTGGTTAAATGGATTTTTGAGCAGGAGAGGAAATTGAGATTGGCCGCTCAATCTGTAAAGGCAAGTATCATATTTAGCCTTCATTGATGTTTTCCTTTAATCCGAGCTTTCACTGGTTCCTCTTCTTATCTCGACACCGCACCAATGCGATTCATTCTTAATTTTGTTATTGCCTAAATTTGATAGATGCTCAGTACACATTAATGCACATGATACATTTTTTTAAATTTTTTAATGGTGATAGGTTTGAGCACTGAATTGGAGCACATAACGTTCCCACCTTTCATTGTTATTGTGTAAAATGTTTTTACGTTTTATTTTTTGGCATTTTCACCCTTATTAACATTTATTGCGCAAAATGTCATTTTCATATATTTTCTCTATTAAAAATTGTGAAATAACGAATATATCATTCTCCTTGAATTTAAAAAAAAAAAAAGAAAAAAGAAAAAAATTAATTACAATAACAATCTCTATTTTTTTAAAAAGCGCAAATAAGTCACAAATAAATTATTAAAATGCTAATTAGTACATAATGTTATGCACTGTTATTGCGAAAAAGTCAATACCTTTCACTTTTTTGACATTTTCACCCTTAATTACATATTTGATTATGCAAATCATCATTTCCATCCAATTTTTCAATAAAGAACCGTGAAATAATAAGAGCGTGTTTGAGCCACATTATTTTGGAAGAATGTATTTTGGAATAGTAGATTGATAAAGAATGTGTAGTTGAAAAGGAATAAAAAGTTATTGATGTGATGGAAAATATTATTTTATTGAAAAATGTGCGGTTGAAAATGAGTAAATGAATGAGAATGAGAATTTTAATATGGCTCAAACAGAAATATACATTCCTATTTAAATAAAAAAAATTTAATTTCTAATTCTTTAATAATTTATTTGAGACTCGTTTGTACTTTTTAACTTTTTTTAATTTTTAAATAAATTTAATTGGGATTCGTTTGCACTTTTTAGAAAATATTATTTTTTAATAATTTATTGGGACTTGTATGTACTTTTTAAAAAATATGGGATTATAGTTACAATTATTTTTTAGCTTTTTATTTAAATATGAGGGTACAGTCATCACTTCACAGTTTTTTATTGAGAAATTGGATAAAAATTGATAGAAATGATGGTTTGCACAAGTAAAAGTATAATTAATGGTGAAAAATAAAAGGTAGGGATGATTTTTACAATAATAGTGAAATATGTGGGCATTATGTGCTAATTACTCATTTAATAATTTATTTGAGACTCACTTGAGTTTTTAAAAAAAATTTGGAACTTTGATTGCAATTAATTTTTTCTCATTTTTTTGTTTTATTTAAAGAGAATGGTATATTTGTCATTTCACAATTTTCAATTGAAAAAATGGATGAAAATGACATTTTGCGCAATGAAATGTGAAAATAATAGTGAAATTGCCAATAAAATGAAAGGTAAGGACATTTTCCTTAATAACATTGAAAGGTGAGAACGTTATGTGCTAATTACCCCTGAATTCGATGATGTGACCAGTTACAACAAGATCGTCCCCGATAAGATCATTTTCAGTGATTTCGAGAGGTAATGTTTTGGATAGTTTAATTTCTTCTTCAATTAGAATTGAATTCGATTATCTTCAAAATATTCGTTGTTTTATGCCATGATTTAATTTTTAAAATGTATGAATTGTATCTCCAACGGCTGAATTTGGTGTGTAGTTCTCCTCTAAATGTGCATGTTTTTTAGTATCGTGTAATTTGTACTCTTTAAACAAACTACAGATTCAATTTAATATTTGTTGACTGGAGTTGTTCTTGTCATTAAAATCGATGGGAAGGAGCGAACCATTTGTGTTTCTCGAAGAGGTGAAGGATGACTTCATGCAACACTATGATGATAGTATCAAAAGCAATGATCCACACCCTCTTGCCGAGGATGACTATGGCGATGATGATTTGTTCGATGATCGAATTAGCATTGCATACAATCTTGATCGTGAATTTGGGTGTTTATATGTCGTTATTCTTAAGAAAATGCTTGATGAATTATATTCTCTACTGACCATGCATTTTTCTCGACCTAATATTGAGTTCATCGACTTAATGTCCTGTTTTGTTATATCGGGTCGAGGCTTAAAGACCACATGCAATATTGTATAATTAAGTTGTCGGTAATTGAGGTCAGCCAGAATTTCCTTGAGCTGTTCTTAGAACAGGAAAATAGTAAATGAAACTAAATATTCTTTATAATTTCTTACTTGGTTTTTGTAGTTAAAATTTGAAGCGTGGCAATTATATCTTCTTTAATTTATTTGAATAGGATGGAATAAATGTTTTGCTGTCATCTTTCCTTTCCTATTTTCTTGATTCATAAATGATACGGAAATGTTGGTAGCAATATGGGGTTCGGGAATTCACGCTTCTGCTTAATATACCCTTGTGCGATTTTGATCGTTTCTACTGTCTTACTTCTAGTTTTGCCATAATTGATTACTTAGTACCTTATAAATTGAGATACTTGTAAAAAAAAAAAAAACCTCAAATATTGGACGAATGGTGAATTTGATGCTTGTCTAAATCTATTTTGGAGGTACGCTAATATTACCTTAAAACTAAGAAAGTCAGTGCATTGCACTGGCAAAAAACTAGTAATATAAAAATTCTCAAAAATTTTGGCTTGTTGATAGAATTTTGTCACTAAGCAAAGTAATAAAGAAAATGAAATTACGGGATAATTGCAGCTGTGGTCATAAATCTTTTACTTTTTTACAGACTTTACTCAAATTTTTTATTTGTGCTAAACATAATCCCAGAATTTTCATTTCGTTGTAGCAGAATGACAAATCAAGGTTAGAAGTTTGACTTTTAATTATTGAAGATGGGAGAGAGAGAGATTTATTTTTAATTTTAAAATTTTAATTAATTATTTGGGATTCATTTGTATTTTTATGAAAATTTTGGGATTACTATTGCTTATGATACTTTATTTATTTTTTCTTATTTTAATTTGGTTTTATTTTAAAAAAATAGTATATTCATCATTTTACAGGACTTTATTAAGAAAATAAAAAAAAATTGTATTCTGCACTTAAAAGGTCATCTAGGGGGTTTTTCATCAATATATAAGGATAGAGGGCATTACGTAATAAAGACAAAGGTCAAGGGGGTTTTGCGCCAATTGCCCAAATTCAAAATTATTTATTTTGATCCTCTTTAAGTGAATTTAACAACAACATTAACGGGAATGAAACGGCAGGGACGTCTTTCACACCTCGAAAGTTATGGGGGTTTTCCACCAATCCGAAAGGATATGGGGTATTTCGCAATAGGGGCAAAAGTGAGGGGTTTTGCTCCAATAACCCTTTTAAAAATAAATAAACACTTTCAGCCAAAAAAAAAAAAAACTTTTACGCATTTGATTATTTGAATTAAATTTCACAGCTTTCACTTTATTTGACGTCGCCCATGAACAATAACTCAGAGTGGGAAAAAAAGAAAAGAAAAAGCACCGATTTTTCTTACATATCTTAAATAATGTTACCCAAAAATGATCAAAACCGATGAAAATAAAAACTCCCTAACATGCATAAATCTCATCTGGAACTCGACTTCTCAGCTTGGTAAATGGTAATGGTGATTTCTCGTTCATCACCCATGAAATTCTCTGCACCAACTCATTTATGGCTGTTGCATTTTTCGGAGTTTCTTTGACATGGTGTTATTTCAAAGAACCATGCTACGTGAACACAGGGGATGACCGAACACACACACTTCGGGGGTCGGACATTATTCTATTCACGCGGGACTCATACGCAATGTGAGGGTCGGTCATCCGAGGTGTCAACCATCTTCGGGTAAAATGACTTTACTCTATTTCAAAGCTCAATTTTTGTGATTTTGCACTTTTACCCCTGTTTGAGCCACATTAAAATTTTTATTTTCATTCTTTTACTCATTTTCAACCACACATTTTTCAATAAAATAATAATTTTCATCACATCAATAATTTTTCCTTCTTTTTTAATCATATGTTCTCCACCAATCTATTATTCCAAAATATGTGTGTGTGTGTGTGACTGTCCCGAATTATTTAGGGCATGTTTGAAATGCCAAATTTTCTATGGAACTTGGAAAAAGAATTCCATTTTATTGGTTTTAGATTGTTTGATGGTCAAAATTTTCTAGGAGAATCATTTTCTTGGCTCCTCCCTCACGCGCCCAAATGCCTTGTTTTTGGGGAAATTCTTTTGGGAAATCCTTTTCCATGTTTGTTTTTTTTTTTTTTTT